ACATTGCATCACACTCCTACGCTGTCGGAAACACCAACAACGAAAATGAGAACACTGTGGCAAATTACATTGTAGACGCTATCTTGAGACAACTCAACACTACGTATGAAGGAATTCTAATGGAAATTCACAAAGTGCATAGTAGATTAGACAATGAAGATGCTGCACGGCTAGCTGTAATGGACGTCAAGATGGATGAAGTGTTATCTACACAAGACGGCTATGAAAAATAAAAATCTAGATAAGAACTTTAGTAACATAAGAAATAACCTAACGGATATGAGAACCAAAATAGCAGATATATAAGTGCAAGTGTTAAAAAAGATACCTTAGATCAAGCCAATATAAAAGGGAAGGGATACACAGCACCTATTAGTGCAAAAACATCTTCGGGTGAAGGTAAAATCGGTGCGGGTCAAGTTTATGATGAACTGATAAAGCGCTACTCACCACAATTTATAGACGAATTCACCGCCAACTATATCTCTTGTGTACGAGAGCTCTTATACCATCAGTCATATCTTCTAAAGATGAGCTCAATCTACTTCAATTAATGCAAAAAGATATAACTGAAAAAAAAAAACATAACGACATCGTAAAGTTTTTTCTTAATAGGGTAAATATAGTGGAAAGAACTTGGAAAGAAAACAAGAAGACGCCGATCATAATAGCTGAAAAGTCAAAAAAACCTAAACATCTCGCAAGTAGAGTAAAGGAATCAGTTCAAATAAAACTATCGAAAGGAAGAAAATTTACTCCAGCTATGCGGTCGTTGTTAATGTTAAGTAAACCCTCTGAAAAAAAAATAATAGTATCAAGAGGAATAGATTCTAACAATAGTACCAACCATGATAAAAACATTAAAGTTTAAACAGAATCAAATCGCCCAGAGAAATTCGTCGGAAGAAAATTCGCTGCCAAAATTAACCACAGTTTATGAGATGTCACACAATCAAAGTGACGACGAATTTCGTCTGACGAAATTCGGCAATAGATTTATTTTTAATTTTGCTGCTGCCGCCGGTCACAAAATCAGCTCTCAGTGAAAATAGAGCTTTGTTTCCCCATTTTTCTATTAGATAATTATCAGCAAGAATCAGAATGGCAAAATTTTGCGATTTATCTTTTCGCTTTTGTATTTTTATGTTTTTTATTTGCCATTTAATTGATGCGAATTTCGTTTCTGTTCTGTTTTACTGGGCGAAATGTTGCGGCGCATATCACCCAACGGCATCGCTCCGGCCGACGAAATTCGCACAGCGATCTGGTTCTGTTTATACTTTTAGAAGGTAAAACCATGATAAAAACATAGCAAGGTAGAACCGTTCTCTCAATTTGTCGGCCATGATTTTTTTTTTTGAAGTTTGCCAACATTTTAAAATCATATATAAGTGAAAATAAAAAAATGAAATTGTTCGAAATTGTTGTTGCTTGAGATTGAAAATGAAAATGTGTGTGTGAGTTTGTGAGTAAATTTAAAAATTAAATTGTATGGAAACGTCAAGAATTTTAAAAGTGACTCTCAGCGGTTCTACCTTACTATATTTTTATCGTGGGTAAAACCATTCTCTCCATTCGTCGGCCATGACTTTTTCCTGACGTTTGCAAACATTTTAAAATCATATAAAATTGAAAATAAAAAAAATGGCATTGTTCACAATTGTTGTTGTTTGAGATTAAAACTGTTCGAATTTTAACCCTAGAACACACACCCAGAAAATACCACGTAAACACACACCCGGGATACGTTTGTACCCGGGACCTTATTTTGCGGTTTTTTTAATGCTTATTCAACCGATTTCTATGATTTTTTTTTTGAAATGTATATTTTAATATATAACAAGTATTTTGTCTTTTGTTTTATTCGAATATTCCTACTGGTTCCAGCGATATGGGCAAATAAAGTCAGGACATGCAACAGTGGATTTTTGTTTTTGTTGTTGTCCTGATAAATGCAAAACAAAATAATATAATTTATAATAATATACTTGTAGAGTAACAACGAATACACATTTTGGTTTTTATTTCATTGAAATATTCTACCTGGTTCAAAAGATATGTGCAAAAAGGTCGCGCAAGGTATGGGTACGTAGTAGACATCTGCAGCGGGTGCATGATTTTCGTGTATACTCGATCATCTAACAAAACCCGTTTGGCATCGTTCTCTGTATACGAGCAGAAGTATTGTTCGTTATCGACTGAGCTCAAGACGAACATGTTGGCCACAACACCCGATTGCTTTTCATACATACTTGATTGGGTTCGGGTGCTTTGCAGCTCAATATACCCGGGTGTTCGAGTTTCAACCCGAGTGTGCACAAAATTTTCTTGATTGGCTTATGACGTTTTTGTTTCTACAAAAAATGTTGCCTTCTCATCGCGGTGTTCTTAGTTTTTGTGCGTAGAGGGCAAAGAGAAGGTTGAATTTTTCGGTAGTTTGTTTAAGTGCACATTTAACCATTTCTTATATTTTTGCTCATACAAAATGCGACATCACGACGCCTACATCCATTTAGGTATAAAGGTGTGTAGATCGGCAATGCCCAAGCCCTATACACTCGGTGCACATTTATTTTTTGTAAAAGTACTTATGTACCTACATAGTTTTAGGCTGTGTTCTAATATATACACACACAGCTTTCCACGCGAAACTATACGAAATAGATGCAAAAACATTTTTGTCTACTTCGCTTCTAATTTTTTCATTGCGTATGCACAAGCACAAAGCAACAACATTTTCGTATGCTTTGTGGGAACATATTGGCGCCAGTTACCTTCAGCGTAAATTTCTTTGTTGTCCTGCATTTTATCGCAATGTTCGGGTGTCCGTTTCATTGTTACACAAATTTTCGGGTTAGCTGCGGGTGTCCGAGTGTGGTGTTCGCTTGTGCTCAATTTATAGCGAGGGTGATCGAACAGACTCGTTCGTAACCAAAGCAGCTGTCGGGTATGCATCTCGATCGAACACATAGTAGCCGAGTGTGGCGTTCGCTTGTGCTTGATTTTTAGTGAGTGTGATCAAAAAGGCTCGATCATACTCAAAGCTGTTCTCTGGTACGTAGGTAGCAAATACACTGGTATAACTGGTTTTTGTATTTTATATGCAGCTGCAAGGGTTGTTTTCACACGAGGTGTTGTTATAAATGCTGCCTGTTGATATTTTCATTATTGTTTTGGTGCTCAAAAGTGTAAGAAGTGAAAATATAAGTGAAAATAAATATAACTGAAACTATAAATAACTGGATACGAAATGACTTCAAGAAGAAACGAATATTTATCAAGTGCAGCATATAGAAGGTAAAAAATGTAAAATAAGCAACAATGTAAACATATACTAATTTTTTTTTATTATGCAGGCTAACTGAGGAACAGCGAGAATCATATATACAATCTTTATTTGATGAAATTTGTGACGATGACGCTCCCTATGACTTTGACTCAGAAGATGAAGAAGAAATTCAAATCAATGACATTGAAATTGCTGATGACGATGCTGAAGTTTCGGCAAAGTGCCGCAGAAGTATTACCTGATTATGCGGACTATGAGGATGATGAAGAAGACGATGAAGAAGAAGAAGTAGAAGAAAATAATGAATTACCTGCTAGTGCCGAAAAATTTGTTGCACGTGATGGTACTGAGTGGATGAAAGAACCAAATGTAAGTCGTCAGGTACTCAGACAAAATATTATAAGAGAACGTTCTGGACCAGCTAGATGCACTGAAATGTTGTCAATAGAGCAAACATTCAAATGTTTCATGAACGTTGAAATGGCTGATATAATTATGCGCCACACAAATAAGTTAGCAAAAGAAACTTATAATGCTTACAACAATGCGCATCCAAACACAACTCCTAAGTCATGGACGCCTGTGTCAATAACAGAGCTGTATGCATTTTTTGGCATACTTATTATGACTGGTGCGAACTGTTGTAAGATTACTGTGGTGTAAACACAACGTTAGCATTAACCTTTACTAATAATCGATTACTTTGTACTATTACTGAACTTTGTAAAACACATCCCTATATTGAATATATAAAATAAAGTTCTTTCCAAAAGTAAGCTTGAACGTAACACATGGCGTCAGGTGGGGTCAATTAAAATAGTTGCACAACGAAATAACTCAAAAGCTAACCAAAGCTAAGCTATTAAATAAAAATAGTATATACTACGTGTATAAAAAATTAAAAATGGTAGATGAAGGCAACGCTACCATGTCAGAGGCACAGCGAGTGCTATCTATTGCTACTACCATAGCACCTTTGAACATAAGAGCGTCAAATCTGGCGGCGGAATGGAAGGCTTGGAGTACGCAGTTCAAAATATTTCTGCGTGCATCTGCTTTAGATAATCAAACCGAGCAAAGAAAAGTTGCACTTCTCTTGCACCATCTGGGTGCAGAATGTCTAAACATTTTCACTTCGTTTAATGTCGATATAGACAGCGTCCAATATGACGACTTATGGAGCAAAATGGAAATGTATTTCACTCCAAAAGTCAATATAGTAATAGAGCGCCACAGGTTTTTTACAAAACGTCAATCCTCGGAAGAGACAATAAGTCAGTACGCTGCCGCATTGCAAAATCTTAGCAAAACTTGTGAATTCGGGGATATACGTGAAGATCTGGTAAGGGACATTTTTATATGCGGTTTATCACAAAAATACAATAAAATAAAGGAGAGGCTCTTAAGCGAAGGCAACATAAAATTGCATAAAGCGATTGAAATAGCTAATAGCATGGAACTAGCAAAAGAAAATGCAGCCATGATACAACGTGAGCCAACCGAAAGCATACAGGTAGCAGCTTTGAGAAAATCTGCATTGAACTACAAGGAGAAGAGTGCTAGATAGGCTCAGCAGCAAACATCAAGAACGTGTGATAAATGTGGGCAAGTACATAAAACCAAATGTCCGGCAGAAGGTAAAAAATGCTACACGTGCGGAAAATTGAACCATTTTGCAAATGTCTGCTTCACAAAATGGCGTAAAGGAAACATGGGGAATAACGGGCAAAAGAGATATGTGAGAAACGTATACGAAGAGAGCGAGACAAGTGCAGAAGAGGAAGAAAATGAAGATCACGAGTCGCAATTTTTCGTGGGCGGAATACATGTTGAAACTGTCAGGAACAAAAACTTAACAACAAAAACGAATGTGATAGGAGTGAGTAAAATTGTTAGCAGTGGCAGAACTGGTGCGGTGAAAGACTGGAACATTGAGGTGGAGATACACAACGCGAAGCTGAAGTGTCAAATAGACACGGGGGCCCAGGCGAACTTACTATCGATCGAAAACTTTAATAAATTAAATATCGGTAAGCTAGAAAGTAAGATATGTCATAATATTTTAACATTCAGCGGGGAAAGATTGCCTCTACTAGGAAAAGTCAATGTAAAATTGTTGTATAAAAAAGTAACTTATTCTGCTGAATTTTATGTCCTTAATATGAAATGTAAAAATGTGATCGGTCTTGAATTGGCTATTAAAATGAATTTGGTAAAAATGGTGACTACAATAAGCTGTGAATCAAAAGGCTGCGAGAGCCTGTTACAAAAATATGAAGAAGTTTTTAAAGGATTAGGGCAGTTGGAAAGTGAGTGTCATTTGAAATTAAAGGAAAACTATCAACCAGTAGTAGATGCACCACGCAGAGTTCCATTTGGACTTTTTGAGCCACTAAAAAGGGAACTGTCCAGTATGATGAAGTTAAAGGTTATAGAGCCAGTTAGTGAACCGACCGAATGGGTCAACTCAATAGTTTTAGTGGCTAAGCCCAACGGAGATTTACGTGTGTGTTTGGACCCTAAAAATTTAAACAAGGCTATAGTCAGACCAAGATTTTCCTTTCCGAACATCGATGAATGTAAGTCGCAAATGGCAGGTTCTAAAATATTCAGCACATTAGATGCTAACTCAGGTTTCTGGATGATACCATTAGATATAGAATCATCAAAGTTATGTACATTTAACACGCCTTTTGGGCGTTACCGATTTCTGAGATTACCGTTTGGTATCAATGCAGCGCCGGAAATTTTTCATTCAGAAATGATTAGACTATTCGGCCACATTAAGGGTCTAATAATATATATGGATGATTTTTTGATCCATGCTCCGAACGTTCAAAAACATAATGCCATTTTAGAGTCAGTTTTGGAAAGGGCACAAAGTGTTGGGCTAAGGTTCAATAAATCAAAATCGAAATTTTTAAAGAAGGAAGTCAAATTCGTTGGACACATATTTAGTGAAAAAGGCGTTAAGCCAGATGAAGAGAAAATTAAATCTATAGTTGAGATGCCGGTACCAAAAAATGTAAAAGAATTACAGCGCTTTTTGGGAATGATTAACTACTTGGGTTGTTTTATTGATAGTCTGTCAGCAAAAACGAAATATTTACGAGACCTTTTAAAGAATGATGTAGTATGGCATTGGGACAATAAACAAGAGGAAGAATTTCAAAATTTACTTAAAGAAATTACAAATGTACCGGTTTTGACCTACTTCAATCCTAAAAAACAATTAGTCATGTCAGTCGATGCATCCAAATATGCTGTTGGAGCAGTCATTATGCATGACAGGAACCCTGTTGCCTATGCATCTGCTTCACTAACTGAAACACAAACAAATTATGCCCAGATCGAAAAAGAGCTCTTTGCTATCCTATACGGATGTACACGCTTCCATCAGTATGTTTATGGACGTCATGTCCTTGTAGAAACGGACCATAAGCCGTTGGTTACACTTGTCAACAAACCTTTGTATAAGATTCCCGCGCGACTGCAAAGATTCATGCTCAGATTATTAGCGTACAACATTACTGTCGTTTACAAGCCCGGAAAGGACTTGTTTATTGCCGACACGTTATCCAGAGCGCCACTTAAAGATTATGCACTGACGGAAGTGGACAAAGATATTGATATTCACTGTAATTTAATTATTTCGCAAATTGCTTTGCCAAGTAGTCACTTAGATGAGTTTAGAGAGGCAGCAAAAACAGATACAATTTTTCAAAAACTCTTGTATTTTACGAAGAATGGATGGCCCGCAAATAAAAAGCGAATTGATAAAGAATTGATGCCTTATTATCAAGTTAAAGATGAGCTTGTTGAGATAGATGGGCTATTGCTAAAAAATAACAGAGTTGTTGTACCAAAAAATCTTAGACCAAAAATTTTGTATTACTTACATGAGGGACATATGGGTATACAGAGATGCCAGAATTTGGCTAGAAACTCTGTGTACTGGCCTAATATCAATAATGACCTCCACAATGTAGTCTCCAGTTGCGAAATTTGTCTAAAATTTCGTAAATCTAATCCTAAACAAAAGTTGTTGTGCCATGAAATGGTCAACATTCCTTGGTACAAGCTGGGTGCTGACTTGTTCGAATTTGATAAAAAGACTTACTTGTTAGTTGTTGACTACTACTCAAAGTTCATTGAATGTGAAATTTTAAGTACGGGGTATTCCAGCACCCAGGTTATAATGAAACTCAAGTCAATTTTTGCCAGACAGGGAATACCGGCTGTGTTCATAACGGATAATGGCCCGCCTTTCAGTTCAAAAGACTTTGCACAGTTTTGCGCAGATTGGTGTATTGAACACATTACTTCCAGTCCTTATATGCCAAGATCAAATGGTTTAGCAGAAAGATCTGTTCAGACAATCAAAACAATGTTGTACAAATGCAAAGAAAAAGGAACAGACCCATATACTGCGCTTCTGCATTATAGAACAACACCCAAAGACGATCTCTCAAGTCCATCCGAGTTACTGATGTCGAGAAAGCTGAGAACCAAATTGCCATCACAACAAGAAAATTTAAAATCAAAATTAGTTGATGTTAATGAGTATAGACGACAAATAAACAAACAAAAGATTAAAATGTCACAAAATTATAATACGTCCGCAAAAAATTTGAAACCAGTAAATCCGGGAGAGAAAATTTATTTTAAGAAAACACCAACATCAGTTTGGTGCCCGGGTACAATAATAAAAGATTTAAAGGAGCCAAGGTCATTCATGGTTCAAGACCCTGAGGGTGTGGTCTACAGAAGAAACTGAGAGCACATATTAAAGCCGGTACTGAAACGGAGTATTGGGGACGCTTACGCTAATGGGGGAGATAAAGAAACCACCGCTTTTGATTCACAGCCTCTTGAAGGCACCACGATAGAATTAACTGATAATGCTTCCGCTGTTAGAACGAGGAGTGGAAGAAAGATTGTACCCCCAACCCGATTAAATATTTAATACTTATGTATATAAATTCAAACTTTTCGTTTTATAATCTAAATTTATATTTGCTGTATAACTCATTACATTTTGTATTAAACTCAAATTTTCGCTTTATGATCTAAATTTATATTTGCTGTATAATTCAAAAAGCCTTTTATACTACATGAATTAATTTTAATGTTAAGCCATACACATAGCTTTCTAGGAAAGAGAGATGTTGTAAGATTACTGTGGTGTAAACACAACGTTAGCATTAACCTTTACTAATAATCGATTACTTTGTACTATTACTGAACTTTGTAAAACACATCCCTATATTGAATATATAAAATAAAGTTCTTTCCAAAAGTAAGCTTGAACGTAACACACGAACCATAGCAATGGAGAACATGTTCGAGATTTATGGAGCGTCAAAAACTATCCTTTATATCGCGCCACAATGGGAGTCAACCGTTTCTGTTCGATATTGCGGTTCCTAAGATTTGACGATAAAAACACTCGTGCAACACGCTTACTAACTGATAAAGCAGCACCGATCAGTGAGTTGTGGACGATGATGAACAATAATCTTGCTGCACATTACAAGCCCAGCTCATGCTTGACGATTGATGAACAATTATTTCCTTACCGTGGACGCACACGGTTTACGCAGTACATACCGTCAAAACCTGCTAAATATGGTATCAAGGTTTGGTGGATTTGCGATGCCACAAATGCATATCCACTGCATGGACAAATATATACTGGCCAAGCAGAAACTGGTAGGGAAACGAACCAAGGCGAACGAGTGGTGAAGGATTTGTCTGCCAAATACCAAGGAAGTGGCCGAAACATTACAATGGACAATTTGTTTACGACCTTGCCAGTTGCAGAACTGCTTCTCACCTGGAAACTCACGATCGTTGGAACTTTGCGCAAAAACAAATCATATATTCCTCAAGAAATGAAGCAGAACAAAAACAGGACAATTGGTTCAACGACATTTGGCTTCAAAAATAATGTGACAATGTGCTCTTATGTTCCCAAAAAAAATAAAGCAGTAATTTTGCTTTCGACCATGCATAATGATGCTGAAATAGCTGACAGTGGGAAACCTGAAATAATTGAATATTATAATCGTACCAAAGGTGGTGTTGATCGAATGGACCAAATGTTTGCGGAATATCCAACACAAAGACAAACAAAACGATGGCCACTAGCGATGTTCTTCAACATGTTGGACATTACAGCCTACATTGTCTACGATTTGAATAACCCTATGTTGCCTTGGAGAACAAACAACAAGCGTAAGCAGATCCTGCGCAGCTTGGCTGAAGCATTGTGTATGCCCATTATTGAAGCCAGAGCCATAAATCGTCAAGTGACGCGAAATTTTTCGACTAAAATTGCTATTGAAGCATATTTCAACCGACCGGTGGAATCAATGGTGTCAACAGCAGCATCAACATCTGCCGCAGCGCGCACGCCAAAACCTGTGTCCGGATCTTGCTATTTATGTTACGCACAAGAGGAAAAACGCCGTAGAAAAACCAGAAAGCTGTGCGACAAATGTAAGAAGCCAATGTGTCTTGAACATTCGGTCACATCAACAAATTGCTCTATTTGCCATGATTTTCCTTAGATATAAGATGCATTTTTATAATTTTTATAATAAAAGTCAATAATATAATGTGTGAAATGAATATTTTTAATTTTAAAAATAAAAAAATAATATAAAAAATGTTTTTTTTTTATTATTATGAGGATTTTTACTATTGGGGTACAAACGTATCCCGGGTGTGTGTTTACGTATATAATGTGTTTGGAAGGCTGTAGCTCCTGAACCAATGGTCCGATCTGGTTCAAATTTTGAATTTGAACTCAAAACTAAATAATCTTCCTAGATCCGAAGCGGTATAGAGGTATAGCGGTTCAAAAGTTACAACACTTCAAAGTTGAAAGTGGATACATTTGTACCCGGGTGTGTGTTCTAGGGTTAAAATTATATTGCTGGCAAATGTCACGACTGCCTCTCAGTGATTTTACCTTGTAATGTTTTTATCATGGTACCAACAATATAATTGGTGAAAATATAATGAAGATAGATCGATTACATAAAAAATCCAACAAACAAAAATATAATACTGTGTTTAACCTTCAATTAAGTAAGCTCACATCAAATCTGACAAGAACGATAACAAATGTGTTATCAAACACTATCAAACAACAAACAGTTCTATTTAGGTTATAAGTTCATAATACGTAGAATTTAGAAAAAAAGGCCTTTAACATTAACAACTTAAACAAAAAAATGCTCAAATACTTCAATTCTCTGTGGTGTAGTCGTTTTGTAACAGCGGGACAGTAAAAATATCTGGAAAAATTATAAAAATACTTTTTAGTGTCTTAAAATATATATCTATATATATATATATCGTCAATGTTTTTGCAAAACCCCGCCCATCGTCCAATTGCAAAACCGCCTACCTTACGGCACTCAAATTTTACAGAAGAGCAAAAAAAAAAACCGTTTATTTTTTGAAGGCATTGCCTTAATAGGCGGTATTTTCTCTAGCTAAATCAAATTTACAAACCTGTCGTTTTAATAACGATTTAACGATTTTTATGCATAAATGTCGATGCCTGGAGTTCAGGGTTACCAAATCTCATTTTTGCCACAGCGGCGATTTAGGCGGTTTTACAACTGGTCGATGGGCGGTTTTGCAAAAACATCGACGATATGTTATTTGTACTTTGAAAATTAAACTCCTTTCAAAGCAAATATGATATATCTTTTTTAAGTTAGTAAAAAGGCATTTTTTTCATATTTCTGATATTATTTTTTACTTTTCCGCTGATACAGGAACGACTACACCTCAGAGAATTTATGTATTTGTTAGCGTTTTTTTTTAAGTTATTAGTCCTTTGAAATTTTAAAGGCCTTTTAAAGGATTAAAAAACAAAAAATTAAAAACTAGTTGTAAGGATGTACTCTATTTTCTTAACTAAATAGCACAGTGCCATACTCAATTTGCTAATTAAAAATTAATAATTTTATAAGTTAACTATTTTTTTTAAGTTCTTAACGTAACATTACACCGGGTGTCAAAATTCTAAACGCACCACATATTAAAAGTCATTGTTATTTAATTTTAGTTAGTTTTTTATAAAAATGTAGTTTATTTTTTGGTAAAGGCTGTACAAACCCTCAATATCTTTTCAGATTTCTAACAGCCAAGTATTATCCTAAAATAAGCAGCTGTTGGGCTCTAAAACTTGATTGTCAAAAAAACCAAATAGTAAATATCTACGAATTTTTCGCTGCACGTTTTAAAACATTACCAAAAACCGGCTTGGCACGCAATGTGTAGACAAATTAGTTTTAAATTAAAAAATAACACAAAACAAGAACATCAGTAAATTTTTGTGTTTGCCTTTTAAAATAGACCGTTGGCAGCACTGATCACCTTTGCAAACGTCATTCTTTCCACTATCGATTTGTATTTAATATGAGTAGCATTGCATTGCTTAAATAAATTATTTACCATTTCGTTTTTTAGAATGTAAAGTGTCTGAGTATGAAAATATAGATAAACTGGATATAGAATTTCCAAAATATAAGAATCTTAATATATAGCCGTATCTATTCAGGTGCAACCAAGACGGCTGAGATTAGCAATACAGAACCATTGTTTAAGACAGTTGTCATTTCAACAAGTTGATGCAGCATACATACACATTTTTATACATGTTTATAAAGAAAACATTTGCCAAGCCGTAAAATTTTCTATCAAAATATTTATCTATATCTATTTATGTATACCCAAACTTGTAGTGTTATTAACTTGGAGTTGGTTGCCTACGCAAGCAAATTCATGAAAGTTGAGAAAATTCAACTCTGCGCGTATTAGAATACGTATTCGAATTCATGTTCTCGGCGCTTACGCAAGTACTTGTGGAGTTTTTATCCCTTAAGAACATGTATATACAACTCAGCAAAGTTATAACTAAAAGAATGAAGTGCAAAGGGAAGGCGAATATAAAAATGTATTGATGAAGTGGCCGCTTTAAGGAGAATAGGAGGGATTAATGTATGGAAATTTCTGAATTTTACAAAAAAAAGCATAATTCAAACCAAGTTTCTAAATAAATTACGTGCCGAAAATTACTAAAGTAGGTGCTAAAATAATGTGTAGACCCTCGACTACAAGTGTGTGGAATTATTTTTTTTGGATCGGGTCACCCCTTTGGACGGAACTGCCCGAAATAGTTGGGGCTACTACTAACCCGTATACCAGCTCTCAAACGTACGCATACGTATACGCACGCATACGCTTGCCTATGGAGTTCTAGCTTTAGTGGGGTTCTTCTTTAACTGAATTTCACAATGTAGTTGCTAGTAGTAATTAAATAATTTGTTGTTAAAATATCATTTGTATACTATATTAGAAATGTCCACATGCGTTTGTAATACCTGTTATATATTTCCACTAATTAATTAATCTGTCGGCGTCTGAAATTGCTGAGGTAAACTGTTACTCCCTTCCCTTATCACCCATTAAAATCCGTTTTCTGGCGGTCTGAAAGGACTGTTGTGTCGAGGCTCTATAACTCCACAATACATCATACTCTATATCTGCCTTTTTTCGTTTTTAAAGACAAAAGTATAGTATTTGATGACGACTCGATTGTATTTTCGATAACAATATTTGACTCGATAGTCGGCAGCACATCCATAGCTTTAATCCCATGCCCGTTTCTGCACATCGCCTACTAATTCAATTTGACATTTTATAAATGTAAATTTGTTCCGGTTGTTTATTTCTTCACAACGATAGAAGTCCTTTATTTATTTGCTGTGTTATTATTGAGTAGGTTTTGTAGCGAAATTCATTTCGATCATTCAAACTGAGCTTAAAGAACGCACAGGAATTAACTCACTCTTAACCAAAAACTCGAACTACTAAATTTTTGTATTTGCATGGCGAACAATGAAATTATAAATTTCAATATGATTATTTCGGTTTCCGGTAGCTATTTATGGACGGTGTTGCAGATTGAATGAACTACTTAATTCTGCTGTGCAATCGTAAACCGACGATGTTGTCGCGACGCAGCAAAGAAAAGGCGACCGCTCACAAGGAAGGCGTGGTTGGTAAGTATGTGAAAAAGGAAACGCCGCCTGAAATACCAGTGATAAATGTTTGGACTTTTGATGAGCAACGAGCCAAGCATAATAAGAAATCACTGCAGCGTTGTGCCAGCACATCACCCAGCTGCGAGTTTACTGGGCGAAGCTCTGGAAATTCTAGTCGCAATACGTACTCGTGCGGCAACGATACACAGTTCAATTCACAACCGGATTACTACCATGCAAGACGAGCACAATCTCAATTGCCACCTACAACAGCAACTATGCGATCGGTATCACAGACCCGTCAGCAGCGTTATGGCGTTACCGGTTTTTACGCACCAACAACTGTAGCAGCATCAACCACACAACATCCCCATTTTTACTCGAGCAATAACCTGGATGTTAGTAGCAATGGTCACGGTCATAATACTGCTAGCAACAATAGCAATAGTAGCAACAGCAACTATGTCAATATTGAGCAGATAGATCGTATGCGTCGCCAGCAATCGTCACCTTTGTTGCAGCCAAATAATTCGGCATATGAACAATTTCATCGTAGACACTCTGCCAACCAAAAGCATAGCAACTCATATGATGGTCGAATACGCGGCTTTGCAAGTGCTGACACAAATGTGGCATCAATGACTGATGGTATCGATTCCTATAGCAATATGCTGCAGTTGCCTCGCGGCACTACACCGACACCACCGCAACATTATCCAACAAATGCCAGTTATGTCGCCGGCGCGGACTCTTATCCCATCTATGAAAATCCGTTTAGGGTATCTTCCAATGCTTCCGGCAGTATAATCAACAACAACCAAACAATGAATAATTTCGATAGTCGCTCAACCCTGTCCAGTGCAGATGTTCGCTCTGAGTCACCTATTTACAGTAACACAACTTTGGCCGTTTCAAACAATAACATTCAATCGTCTTATGATCTGACTGCTGGTAAAGCAGCTGCCGCCTCTGTACAATCTCTGTATCATGCACCGTCAAGACAGCTTCACACTCAATCTGCCGGCAATACAAACAGTGCCCAGAATGTTTTACAAAAAGTGCCATCACAGCAGTCCCTGGAGGAAGAATTGCCACTACCGCCAGGCTGGGCCATGCAATACACTCTTCATGGACGAAAGTATTATATTGACCACCACACACATACAACCCACTGGTCCCACCCACTAGAAAGGGAAGGACTGCCAGTCGGTTGGCGACGTGTTGTCTCCAAGGTTCATGGTACCTATTATGAAAATCAATATACAGGGCAATGCCAGCGACAGCATCCCTGCCTTACCTCATATTATGTATATACTACATCAGCCGAGCCACCCAAGGCTATATGCCCTGAAATACCAGTTCCTTACACACCGCCAGTGCATACACACAACGCACTGGTACCAGCAAATCCGTATTTGTTAGAAGAGATACCCAAGTGGCTGGCGGTATATTCAAATGCTGATTCATCTAAAGACCATATGTTGCAATTTAACATGTTTAGTTTGCAAGAGCTTGAGTGCTTCGATGGTATGTTGGTGCGTCTGTTTAAACAAGAGCTTGGCACAATTGTAGGTTTCTACGAACGTTACAGGTAAGTGATGAAGTGATGAATTATGCGGTAACATATTGATTATTTTCATTTAATTTTATATTTTTTTAATATTGTTTTCATTTTTGTTTTTCAATTTAATAGACGTGCTTTAATTTTGGAAAAAAAAATCGACGCGCCGAGCAGGAGCGTTATTTACAAGAGTTACATACACAAGCCACACACCAATAACACTTCATATGAACCGTTATATATTCTATTGGAAAATTGTGGGTGCTGTGTTATATTTCTATATATTTTTTTCCCTATTTAATACTTGATGCTTACGAATATAAAGAACATCTTATATAATTAGACTGTCTTGTTCTAACGAACTGTGAACTGTTTTCGTACTATCAAATGTTATATAACTCTTAAGTAAAAGTTTTATGTTACTGATTTTAACTGATATATTATTTATGTTTAATATTTAAGTTATTTCGAACGTTTTTGTGATTGGTTTTATTCTTGCTCTTTTGATTTAAGTATATATTCACATTTTCTCATTTCAACTTATATGACTTTTTGCAGAAAAAATATATATATTTATGCATGTGTACATTAATATTTTCAAAGATTTGTTCTTTATTTTACTCATTTTAAAATAAGTATGTAACGTAATGTTGAGCCATGAACTAAGGAAACCATAAAAAAATTGCGAGGAAGTCAAACTCTAACGACACATTCGAATCATTAAAAACTTCCAACTGCATTTGTGCTAATAGAAAAGATATTTCTGTCTAGCATGTATTTTATGGTAACAGTCAACAGAAATGTCTAAAACCTTAATCGACTCTGGGAACTAGCGTACTTATGGATAACCCCACCCTCCTTCCGCCGTCTACGGGTACAGTCAATGGGGAAAATGATTAATGTACATTCATATCTTATCAAATGTATCTATTTTTATTTGGAGCACCGTAAATTGTCACGTTATGTAAGTTAATTTTTAGGATGAGTAAAGCTCGAGCAAGGCAAGCCTTCCTCCACCAGTTAAATAAAAAAAATAAATAAAAATAAAGAACAAAAACAATTTCAATGATAACATATCGCATATTTAATAATAGCCTTGGTCCACAAGCTACTCGAAGTCACTTCCGAGTTACACATACGCGTTCCACAAGTAAGTTTTTAAGTGGAGTTTCTTTGATATACGCTCACAGTTTGAACTTTGCTCGAGTTTTTTACAAGTTGCCTGTGGAACAAACCTAATATAACGATCAGTTCTGTGGGAAAACGCAATCAAAGTTTTATCAACTCATACAGTTGGTATACCACAAGTAATTTTTATCAAAAAAAAAACCGACTTCAACTCCCATATAAAAATAAATATATATATATATATCTCATGATCCACTGATCGGATCTTAACCAGATTAGCATGGGACCACCTCTGAGACACTACCTTTCCGATGCAAATTATCGAAATCGGTTGACGTGGTCCAAAGTTATGCGGTAACATACATAAAAAAATAAAAAATAAAAACAAAATAAAAAAAAAAAACAAAATAAAAAATAAATAAAAAATAAATAAAAAATAAAAAAAAAATAAATTAAAAAATATTCGGACGAACTGATAACCTCCTCCTTTTTTGGAAGTCGGTTAAAAAGACAAATGGAAAGACGTACATACATACAGTTACTCCAAAAAATTGAGCGTGCGGATCTTTTTGTTAATATTCGCAATGTTTTACATGTTAAAAATTGTTTGTTAATTTTTTATTAAAATATGGCTTATACTCCATTTAAATCCAAGAATGATACTGTGTACAAAATTAAGAAAAATTTTAGTATAATAATGTTCAAATTTCAAATCTCTAAAAAATCTCGTTGGTTTTTACTGACTGTCCGACGCATTTTTTCCATATAAAAAATTTTCAATTTTTTTTATATATAAAACATTTTAAAAACCCAACGCGAATGTTAAGACATCTACCAAAATTTAATGGGCTATAAAACTGCATACCTGAATTCTTTTTAGAAATTCGTATTAAAAATTTCGCGATTTTGCTGAAACTTTGCAGATTTTTCTTAATTTTTGTACACAGTATCATTCTTGGATTTAAATGGGAGTGTGTGTTGCTAAAATATAAGCCATATTTCAATACAAAAAGAACAAACAATTTTTAGCATGTAAATCATTGCAAATATTAACAAAAAAGAACCCAAACCTATCATTGCAATCTTTACGAAAACGTTAGAGGGGAATTCGAAATCTTCCAATATAACACTAACTTTGATGAAGTTTTTCAAAACTTCAACACCGACAAAATTGCTCAATTAACGGAATTTTTACAAAAAATTTAAGCTTCTTTTTAAATCGTTTAATCGTGGTGTACATATCGTCCACCTACTAGCTATCCAATTACTACTGGGCAAACTACGGCCTGTGCAAACACACGAGTATATAAACTCGTATACAAACTTCTGGGACTTCACACGTATACGTCAACAATGCAACCCTGCTTCTGTGCTTATACTTTTAATTTTGCCTACATATCTTTTGCGCTCTACTGGAGTGGAGCTTTAGAATTAACTACATTTAACTGGAGGAACAACCTGACGTGGGAAGCGGTCTTGTTTCAGCCATTCAAAGGAGAATCCAAAAAAAATATATATTCCGAAATGTATACAATGTTTTGTTTGCAAAGTTTACGCGATTTTCAGTTGCTTTGTTTTACAAAATATAGTGATGGTTTGGAACGCGGCCAAACTTCGAGTGCAACCTAACAGCGCCGCAACAAAAACGCACTAAAAGCAGCAGAGCCAAAAGAACACCCGCAGCAACTCCAGCCATATTAGAATTATGGACAGCGATTTAGGGGTACCTAACCATAGCCGCAAAACAGCAGAAAATATATTGCGCCGATGCCCATGGAAACCAAACGTAGGAGATGGTCATGCAACGAGAGCACCAATTCTCATTCGCATCCCCGAAAACTTCACACCGAAGTTGGCGCCGAAATTCTCAGGCCCCTACGTAATTAACAATACGTCTCAGGAAATACGGTAAAGTTCGTTAATTCCGAGCGGCTCGATAGGCAATCAGAACCCGCACACCTGCAGGAACTAAAGCCGTATCATCTAAAACTAAAGGTCCTATTATGAATGGCGACTGGTATAGTAGACTTGTACATTTCGAAGTAATTGGCAACTTTACTTCGATGTGATCAAATCCGGACATGGGGGCCACTATTTGAATCCACGCAATGACCATCGAACAAGCTCCGAATCCAACGATTGCAAAACGTTAGTGTAGTATGGCAAGGGCGTATCTGAAATCGTCGTATGGTATGGAAAGGGTGTATCACGCTGAAATACAAAAGGCCGTAACTAACTAAAAAAAACACAAATTATAATCGTTATATCCAATAAAAAAATCTAGTTGTGTTTTTTTTTTCCTTTTTGCGACAATGTGGGATGCGCCCTTTCCGTACTATACGACGATATGAGATACGCGCTTTCCATACTATACTAACGAAATATTTCACGGATGGCCAATCATGCCAAAAGCCACACCTGCCAGCTCGCGTACACCAAACATTAGTATCAACCGCGATGTATAGCCGCCACAACAACAATCAACCGCAACGAACCACCAGTCGTCGAAAAGATCTCAGAGCGTGGATCGCCCAATGCATAAGGAGGCAACAAGCATCGGCCCTTCTTGGCCCTGAGGCCCGGATTACGCCACAGTGAAGCGAGGACATAAATACCTGGTCAGAGACTAAACCACTTATAAACACGCACCGCACCAACACACACACACACCGGCCGAACTACAATTTTTCTTCCACCGTAAACTATATTTATTTTATATTTTATGTACCTGCACTATATAAAACCAGTATGCATCACGCAATAGTTTATAAGTAATAAATTTAAACTGAACTAAAAAAATTTGTAAATTTGCAATACAAAATTATACGATGTTCCAATCACTCAAGTCAAGTCAAATTTCCGTTTCAATGTAATGAGAAGGAATTTTTGCGTAGATTCATAACAATTGGTGAAACATGGATGCGCCATTACACACCAGAGACCACAAACAAATCAATTCGGACGATAGAGGGTGCGTTCTGAAATGCATCAAGCCAAAGCATCAGTCTCTTTTATTTCTAAACTATAATTTATAGAAATGTCAAATATGCACAACCACGGTTATAAGCCAAATTGGAACTTAGTTACGTAAATAAGACATTTCCATCAAAATTCTAGTTTAGAAATAAAATATACTGATGCTTTGGCTTGATGCATTTCTGAACGCACCCAGAACTAGATGGAAGTGCACCAAAAAAGGCAAAAAAACACGGCATCTTCGGCCGGAAAGACTATGAGGACGCACATATAGTATAATCCTGATCAGACTAATTTCAAGAAGGGAAAATCGACAATTGATGAAAAATGGAATGTTAAAATAAAGGCAAAACGATCGCAACTAACAAAGAAGGGCTGTGTTCGGAATTGACTCAAGCCAAAGCATCAGTCTCTATTTTATTTCTAAACTATAAATTATGGAAACGCCTTATTTTCGCAATAAGTTCCAATACGGCATTTTACCATGGTTACGCATATTGGACATTTTTATAATATTTTACGCACGATATTTTGCAGATCTGGACCTGTGCGATTTTATCCCTTTCCAAACATGAAAAATTGGTTTGCGGGAAAGAAATTTTGCATTCAATTCTGTAGCAAGAACCGAATCTGAAGTGTCAAATAATAAAATGTAAAAGCACAAGTAGACCCATTCCCCCCCTCAAAACCAGCTCATGATGAAGAAACTTGGGACATAAGAAGAATAAAAGACAGTATCCCCACATGCAAAGCATTAGATGATACATACCTATTTCATCTGTGCGAGGTGTTTGAGTTGCGACCGGTCACCATTAAAAATATCGAAAAGTTTGAAAGGTTCGTAAACAACTCATTGATAGAGACTATCCGGAAATCAAACGCATTTGATCTAGATTTACACAATCCTGCTACAGAGTGTAAAAGAGTTTCGCAATTATCGCAGGAGTTTTCAAAGTTGCAAGACGAAGTTAAACGAGTGTTGAAAGTCAAAGAAGACACTCCCCAGTCTCTCCAACATCTCATCAAGGATATCAGCGAACTAAAGGCAGTAGTGCTGTCCTCCGCAATAATTAAAGAACAGATCCCCATGCAAGCTCTAATAACTCATGAAGCTCGAGAACCAACGACACTTGCCAGCTCAGCACCTGCAGCTTCTAGGGATCTCTCAGCAACAGTCGCCGATAACTCCTATCTATATAACCCGTCCTTCCTGGCAAGGATAACATGAACCCTTCATATCGCATTCTATTTATAAAAAATGATTATGGTTTTTTTTTTTTTAGATTTGTAACTGACCTAATGAACAACCATCCTAAAAATTCATGTTACTAACAGTTTGCAAGATCCGAAATATATCTCTAATAGATCTTAGCATTCATCGTGGGGTAAATTTTCACCCCAACAGCATTTAGTATATTGTATTTATCTTCTTTTTAATTATTTGCAAAAAAAGATTATTACAAATTTACTTCTTAATATTAACCAAATAAACCAATACTATTTTAAGATTTTTCACAAAAAAAAAAAAAACGTAACTCTACGTTTGAGGCGAATTTTCATCCCCCGATGTCAGTTATATAGTGCATAATTGTATGGCTAAAGATCAAAGAGGTATATTTTTTAACCTTGGGCGGATTTGGGGGAATTTTGTTAGGGATCTTGGGAATTTTTTTAGGGGTTTTTGGAAGTTTACAACTAAATTTTTTAGGCACGATTAAACCAATTAAAATGTGAAAAACGTACGCGCACAAACCTAAATATATGCATTTTAAGGGACAATATATGTATGTTATATACATATACGTATTTTTAGGCGTGGAAATATGAAATTTTTTAAGCTAATAACAAAATACGCATGCATTAAATTCTACTAACTACACTTCTAACTCTAAACTTAGCTTAGTTATGTCAAGGTAAATGATGTGTCAGTCTCCTTTATCATATCCTCAAGCTGTACACCGATACGTTTACGTGGAATATCAATTTGTATAATCGAAACGGTAACGCGATCACCCACAGTGAGTTCTGTGTTTCTCATTTTACTTATATGTAAGAGCGCATTACATTCAACCCCAACATCAAGAAAGGCACCAAAGTGTGTGATATTAGATATGGCACCTGAAACGACAATAATTTAAAAGACTTTAAATTTCTTTCCAAAGACGGCAGCAAGAAATCAGTCACACTACCTGTTAGCACATCTCCCTCAGAGAGCTCAGTTATGCGTGTTAAGCCTTGCTTAAATAGTGGTCGCTTAGCAAATTCTGCGCGATAGTCTTGAGTGAGCTCGCGTTGTAATGCCATTAGTACGACATCGAGCTAAGTTTTTTTTATAAATACAAAGAAGTTATGCAAATAAATTTATAAATATAATAATGAAACAGAGTAGAAAAATAGAAAAAAGGATTTTACCCGCTCTTTTGGTATTTGAAAATCCTCAGCTAACTCTTCCATATCACACTGTAAGGCGTATGCTTTGATTTTGCAAATAAACGCTTTCGTGCCGATATCATTTAGCAGCAAATTACATTTGCTTATGATTCTACAAGGTAATATATACATACATAAAAATTATAAGGTACAAAATATGTATAAAATAAATTTTACTTTTTAGCAACTGCGTAACTCTCCGGATGCACCCAAGTGCAATCAAGCAGATTTTCAATTTTCCTTCCTACAGTCAAGGGTTCAATACGTATAAAACTAGAATGAGAGAAGAGTTAAAAAAGTTAATTTATAAAACCGTGAAAACGAGTTGCCACCCATCCCGGAGCTATGACTGAATTCATAGTATGATTTTTCGCGAAATCTATGAACATTCCATCACTGAATATATACCCTCGTAGTAAATCGGATTCATTAGATTTTTTCATAGATTTCACCAAACTCGGACTGCTATGAATTCAGTAAATCTGGATTATGTTCAAAACAGAATTTAAAATACATTCATATGTAAACATTTTATACACAAATCCATTTCTTACCCCGCACATTGTACAAATGTCTTTTCGCCTATGGATTTCACTTTTAACAAATCTTTGCGAGTTTGAAAAGGACCATTAATTGAACGATGTTCTATTATTTTTTGAGCTTTTTTCTCACTCAAACCGGCAATATGTCTAAAAAAAATCAAAATTTATCAACGAATCGTGAGAAAACATAAAAAAAAGGACTCACTTCAACACACTTAAGCTGGCTGTGTTAATGTCCACACCCACAAAGCTCACACATTCGGAAACGACTTCATTTAAAGCCTCGTTAAGCGTTTTCTCTGGCACGTCATGCTGATACATGCCGACACCAATGTGACGTGGTTCAATTTTCACATATTCGCTTAACGGGTCATTTAGCCGCCGTGAAATGGAGACTGAAAAGTAAACAATTTTATATATCTGTTCTATTTGTGAAAATTGTCCTTTTAGTATATCTCACCTGCACTTATTTCATTCATGTCCATATCTGGAAATTCTTTACGCGCCACTTCGCCACATGAGTATATTGAGGCACCCTGTTCCGACACTATGCTATAACGCACGGTATTTTTGTCCAATATACCGTAATCGAATAAATTCGATAGCCAAAATTCTGTTTCGCGGCAGGCTGTACCATTGCCTAAAGCAATTATTTTGCAGCTATGGAGTTGAAATGAATGAAAGGTGTATTGTATATTTATTTTTCATTAAATTTGTCAAAAAAATAAAAAATAAAAGATAAAATCTATATACTGTGTTACGTTACACTCACTTGTGTCTTATAAGCATTTTAGCTAGTTGGTGGCCCACCTCCTCGGGATCACTGCTCCGAGCATGCGGATATATCACGCCTGTTTCCAAAACATCGGCAGTCTCGGATATCAGCGCCAATTTGCAGCCATTGGTGAAGCCTGGATCAATACCAAGAATACGTTCACCTTTTAGTGGAGATTGCAGCAATAATTGCTTTAAATTCTGGGCAAAGACATCGATTGCAGCCTTTTTGGCCAATTCATTCAAATCGCTGCGTATTTGCCGTGACAAAAGGGGTTGCACTACGAGAAATAAGAAAATTTGTACACTGAAAATTGAGTTACAAAAATTACAATCAATTTCTTTCGCTTACATTTTTTACTGTAGCACTCCTCGAATGCCTGCTCAAACACCTGGTTGCGTAGCGGATAACGCAGACCTTCATTCATAAATAGCTCGCGTGTAAAGCGTTTAATATCGTTTTTTACATAATCTGCAGTGATTATTTTTACAGTCAGGAATTTTTGCTTCTCAGCGCGATTGATAGCGAGCACCTGATGTGGTTTTAAATAGCGAACATCTTGTTGAAAATCATAATAAGTTTCATATTTTGAAGCATCTGCTTTGTTCTTCGAATGAATAGTATTATTATTGTTATTCAATTTGTTTTTAACCGTAGTTGCTGCCTTTTTAACAGCTACTGTACTGGGATCTTTAGCTTTAGAGCACTTAAGCACGATGCGATGAACCTTTTGACTGGCGAAACGTTGAAATCAAGTTTTCTATTTTTCTTTTTTTTTATATACTTACAGCCTTCGCATTTCTTCCAAGACACCTGTATGCTTGCTAATATTATGCGAAATTATGTGACAAATGCCCTGCAATACCTTTTCCACACTCTCCAAATCTGGATTGTTGTGATCCACTAACGTTTCTAAACGAACCTCAGGCGCCTCCCCGAATAGTAAACGATCGGCAGCATCACCTAAACCCAGCGCTTTAGCACGTTCGGCAAGTGAACCTTTGCTAGCGGGTTTATATGGCGCATACTGTTTGTGAGAAACATATTATAACAAAAGTTCGCAAACAAGCTATTTAAATTTTCCATACCAAAAACTCCAACTCCTCATTACTTTTAGCACATAAGATCTCTGTGCGTACTTCTTCACCAATCTGTTGCTCTTTTTCCAATTGAGTGACTATCGTTTCAGCGCGTTTACGCAGCTCTACGATTTCCGTGTAAGAGTTCTTTATATCACGTAAACGTTCAGGCGTTATGTGATTAATCAAATCACGACGATAACGGCAAATGAAGGGAATGGTATTCTCATTCTCCAACAATTGTACAATATTCCTGGCAGTGCTAGGTTCAACGTTCTCCTTTTCGGCAAGTAGTTCATCGACGCGCCACACTTTGCGACGTGCTATGAATGATATATGGGCATACGTATACACATGGATATAGGCGTATTTGATATTAAATTCATACGTTATATTCGTACATACCCCAAAAGGAGCTGCGGCCAGTGTAAGTATTGGACTCACGAGATGGCTTGCTTGTTTGCGATTCTGCACGTGAATTGCATTGACCATCTGTTGTATCTACAGGCGCTGCGACTTCAGGATCTCCGATAGTCAAATCCAACTGCTGCTGCTCAGCATCTCCATCCTCCGCAACTTCAATGACATCACAGTCAACATCAATCGTGACACTTGGTTTCTCTTTGGATTTTTTAGATCGCGACGCTGATTTTCCGTCCTTTTTGGTGCGGTTCTCTGAAACTTTGGCTGCTTCTTTAGTATTACCGGTTTTTTTTTGTTGTAGGAAAACGTTTTCTATGAACATGCAAAATTAATAATAATGGTAAGATATATAAAACTTTTGCTAACCGGCTAATTGCTGCGCTTCCAGTGGCAACTTCTCCCCCAGACACTGAACGTGCCGCAGCATCTATTCGAGCCAACTTGGTCGGAGGAGGAGAAAAAGAACTATCACGTCGCCTTGTTCTAGACACTGTGGGAGCATCATCGTCTGAATCAGACAGCTCTATAATCTGCGTGGCTCTAACTGCAGCTTGACGTCGTGGGCGCCCAACCATAGTGCGCGAGTAAAACAAAAATCGCAAAACTGGAATTTACACAGAAAACAAATTTTTACAAGCGCCAACAACGACTATTTTAAATTAAAAGTAGACTCCAGCAATTCACAAATTTTTAATTGCGTATACTACGAAAAAATGTGAAATCCCGCTACAAAACTGTAAATTTGAAAACCACGCGTTCATCAGCTGATTTCTTATTCCAGTCTCACACGTTCCAATTGGTCGAACGACATGCTCATCTTAAACATGATCAGTCTTGCCACTCGATGATTATCCTATTGCGCCATTTACAATGGCACATTTCTGCCAGTTGGTTTGAAACGGAGTTCGCTTCCGTTTTACATCAAGTTTCGTAAATGAATTCGCCGCTCATTTGGTTTCCCGGCGACAAAGAACCTGATGAAAAGTGCTCGATGCAAGGCGAATTTATACAAGGTAGTGCTCCCTGCAAGATGGGGCTACCAGCAATTACAATTACAATGATTACAATACAATTGTAAGATCAGATGATTTCTTCGCTTTACATGTATTTCGCTTTTGATTTTACTTATTTTACAGCAGGGGGATTGTTCCGTGCGCAGAAGTGGAAACCTTTTGACTGTCATTCACCTGGGAGTGGTCAGAACTGATTCTTGCGCATACGGTTCCAATCGCAGCTCACAACGTACGGATAAAACAGCCGTTTCGGAGCGACCTAAACTGAGAAATCGTAAAAGTTCGCGTGCGCTGGGTTTAGGTCCCACCATGTTAAAACCCCGCCCAATTAAAAAGAACAGAAAGACTCGGATGAGAACTCGTTTTTTTTTTGATGACGACCCCGGCAAACTTATAAAGGACTATGATTTAAGGCTATGCACCTGGAATATCCGGACCCTTAATTGGGAAGGTGCCTCTGTCCAGCTGGTTGATGTCCTCGGGAAGACAAAGGCTAACATCACCGCCATCCAAAAAATGCG